ATTTAATAATTAATTTAACAAAACCAAATGCTAGTACCAAGTAACAAAATCATGCAGTAACCAAATCAGAAAGCTAAAACTTATTACACAACAGTTTAATATATCTAAATAAGTAGAAATAAGATATGTGCTACATACCATATTAATTTTCTCACCAGAAAAAGAATAATGCATTATTAAAAGTATTTACCAATATTGATCTACATAGGAATGTTTTATATAATTTTCTGTTAAATAAAAAAAAAGCTTTATTTTACCTTTATATATTTATTCCATGCTTTAATTCATTTAAATGAATTATAAATTTTATTTTTAATATATAACCTTGACAAATTTTCAATGAAAAAAAGAAAATTTTACTAAAATATAGTTAATAAAAACAATTATTACTTAAATAAGTTTAAAGTTTCTGAGTAATTCAAAACTGAAATAAAACAAAAAATCTTTAAAGTACATTTAATACTAAATGTTTAGAACTCTATATCTTAGCACCACATAGTCCGATTTCGATGATTTTTTTTACGTTTTGCAGGGAATTTAGTAAGCTTTCAAACACTTAAAAATTGCACCCTTTTCGAGTTATTCCCCAATTATGACTCCATTTGTAACGTCCCGATTCGTTGAGACGGCACCATCATACGCTTTGAAAACTCCCACTTAAACATTTACTTTTATTTAAGTCCAGGTATAAAATTATGAATGAAAATTACGATTCACGCACTCTACGTGTTATTCCCTTTCTATTGATACCTCATTCGTCAAAATCCATCTCTCCTCAGAGCCGGAAAAGAGATATATATTTGAGAAATAATATGTAAGATAACTTTTAAGTTTATAATTATTAAATTGTATGTGTTAATTTCTGTCTAAACTATTTTCATATTCATTTGCGTTTTAAAAACTTGGTTAAACTCCTTTAAAAATATTTCGAATTAATTATCATTTTTATATACAATTAACTATTGTTGTTTTTATTTGTTAACTAGCTTTACCCGGCCACGCGCTGTTGTGGCTTAGCCTGGCAAAATGGAAAAGAAAGAAAATAGAAAGCAGATATGAGTAGATTAATAGCAAAGGACATCTGTCATTTTTAAAAAGTTGGGAAACAAACTTTTCTGTAAATTGCTTCAATTTAAAATATTTCTAATGATTTTTTTTTTCATGATTCAACTTGAACATTCGTAATCATCAGAAACAGTCAGAGTTGAACTTATAAAACTAAAAAAAAAAAAATTAATATAAAGAACCTGAATAATAGTATTGACCTACATAAGGAGAATCATATAAATTCTTCAAATGATAATTTCAATTACTGTAGTAATTATAAAATTTTCGATTAATTAACAAAAAAAAAAAAAAAATGCTTGCCTACCTTCAGTAGTGAGGAAGCAAAAGGAAATTGCCTTTTCTGAAGAGAAAGCAGTAAATGTTTGGTTGTAAAACTTTGCAACGAACCGTCCGATTTCGATGATTTTTTTTTTAAATTTTGTCAGCAATTCAGGAATTGTTCATGTAAATGTGGGTATTAACAATAAAAAATTGTGTACTACTTAGTTATCGGCAAATAAAATATTGAATTCATCGTAACATTTCTTCAGCTTGTTTTCGGGAAGGTATGTTATACACATAAATTAAAAGGGTTTCAAGGGGAAGACTTTAGGAAACAAGTTTCGTTAAAATCGTTAAAGCCGTTTATAGCAACACATTTTTTGCATCTTTGAACAAAAAAAACATTTACACTTTTATTTTGTTTACATATATAAAATTATAGTAAGACAGAAGTACTATGCCAGAAACCTTTCCAGAAGTGTACGGAACAACTTCCGAAAGTTTACTGGAGATCGGATGAATGGCTTAGTAATGCACAAAGGACAAACAGACGGACAGACATCCATTTTTATATATAGAGATAACTGAAAATTTGATTCTTTGATATTTTACTTCAAAAAAAACTATTTCATATTCAGTGTTTATCCATTAATAAACATACACATATTTTTTTTTTCCATTTTCTCTTTTCATATAATGTTTTAGTTATTCTGGTTAAAAAAATAAAATTGAAATAATTTTCCAATTTTCTTTGTTGGCACATTGGAGTGATCGAATATTGTTTTTGTATTTGGCGGTTTTTATTAAATATTGTGTGATATATTTGTGCGTTTTTATTGCCTAAAAATCTGGTCTCTTCTTGCAACTTTTATCCATTTGACCCTCGAGACTGACTTCACATTAAAATAAAACTTATCTTTGAAAAGTTCTTCAAAGCAGAGGTATTCTGGAGGGGATGGGATGGCGCCATCAAAATGTTTGAGGGGGGAACATTTTTGCAGGGTTTTGAACTTTTGATGGGAAGACTCCCCTGCTTCAAAGTAACTTAACAAACGACAATCAAATTCACTATTTTCCTCGCTAACTGCCTACAGTTACAAATATAAATTACTAAAACTATTAGCGGCTCGTCCCATTAGAGCACATGACATACTAAAATTATACATATTATTGTTAACGTTGTACCATCAGTAATAATAAAATGAAACCGACATAGGCTCCAAGATAGTTGACAGATGTTGAGGAGTGTTCTCTTTTATTCAGAAGATGATCAGATATCGCCTCATAGTGGAATGCTTGGAATCCCTAGCTTTCTTTAGATCTCGCCGAACATCACCTTAGGTAATAATATTTAGAACAGCTGCATGTAGTTACACTATTTCTTTGACCTTCCGATTAATACAGAACCTTTATCATCGATTTTTTGTTGTTGTTGTTATTACTTTTTTTAATCTATAAGTCTTCAGATTCTCAAAAAAAAAAAAAAAAAAATGAGTTGCATATGTTTGAACTATATGACCCATATTTAAATTTATTTATTGTCTTGTTAAAACTTTTTAAGAACCGTTATAAGCGGGTACACTACATCAAGTTCTGTTTTTCATAAAATTATAGGATATATGTGATTTTTTTAATCATTCTCTTACTAAATTACAGATTCACCATTTTTTATATTAAAAAATCTTGTTTGATAAGCTTTAAGTCATATCAATTATGTTTTTGCAACCAACAAGTTTATATAGCTCCATAGCTAAATTTCGCACCGAAAATTTAAGTTTTGTATTAAGTCGCATTTTTTTCTTTAATACCACTATTTCTTTGACCTTTCGATTAATATAGAACCTTTGTCATAGATTTTTTGTTGTTGTTATTACTTTTTTAGTCTAAAATCTTCAGATTCTTAAAAAAAAAAAAATGTGTTTTATGTGTTTGAACTATATGACCCATATTTAAATTTATTTCTTGTCTTATTAAAACTTTTTAAGAACCGTTATAAGCGGGTACACTACACCAAGTTCTGTTTTTCATAAAATTATAGGATATATGCGATTTTTTTAATCCAACAAGTTTATATAACCCCATAGCTCAATGTAGCACAGAAAATTTAAGTTTTGTGTTTAAGTAAGTTGCGTTTTTTTTTTAATAACAAAAAAACATTGAATTAATACAATAATCAATTCTACAATAGTAAATTAGATGATTTTTTTTTCAAACACAACTATAATTTATCTTATTTTAAACTAGCCTAAGGGTGCTCTCAAACGTATAAGCTGGGTTAAGTTCTTATCTTTCAATAAGAGAATAAGAACGTTTAGGTCACCTAATATCATAAAGATCGATTTATATAATTGAGACCTAAATAAACAGCACTTTAGGTGAGAGGTTTTTTGAAATTGACTCAGAATTTCACATCACACAATTTTTTTCATAAAATTAGAGGAAATTCAACATATCCTGTAACAAACCTTATAGGTTATAGACCATAAACATGAAGATAAAGATTATTAATCAAGAAAGTTCTTGTAAAATGGGGAATCTGTAATCCAACTGGAATGTGACAAAACACAATCGTATTATACCATGATTTTATGGAAAGCAACTTATCGTAGCAAATATGCTACATACTATATATGCAAAATTCTACGCAATAGTTGATTGTCATTTTAATCAAATGTTTTTATTTTTTTTTTTTAGTTACCGCTTCCTATTAAAAATAAAAACATAAGCGACATGCTCGGACCATGGCGTGCCCGAACTTTTATGTTGAAAAATCTTAATTTCAAATCACAAAATTTGTTTATAATAATTTCATTTTTAATCATATAACACATAACTATACCGTAGAATACTCTTTTGTTTATGGAACATAGGAACTTTCCATTTAAATTTAATTTAAATTAAATCAAGAAAAAACAACATCTGCGATCTCGTGTAGACTATACATCTCAGATGTTATTATAAATCCGACATGACTGAAGCGTAGACGCTAACATATTCACGAGACTGGCCAGTTAAAAAATTCGTTATTCCACTGATTTGATGAAGCAAGGGGCCAAGAAAGGAAGAGATAGAAGATGAACAAGAAGACTGGCAAATAGAAGAAAAGAAAAAATGTAAATATCCCAACCCATCTATATTTAACCCCTATATAAAATTCAAAATTATAAAATAAAGCAATCAATTTTACATATTCACTTTTTTAGTACATTAACTTCTCTAATTTTATAGTCCACAGCAATAAATTATCACCAGCTCTTAAGGCCGAATTATTATGTCAATATCCCTGATATCCATGGAAGAGATTGGCATAGTAAATAAGACACTATACTGTAGTATCCAACCAGATATTCTATATAATGTTTGAGTAATAATACACTGCCACATTGAAGGGCAACAAGTATTAGAGTTACAAGTGTTCATTCATACAATAGGTACATAATAAAGGGTGTACATAAGTAATAAATAATATAAAATTTAATAAAAAGAATAAAATGAAATAAAATTTAAATCGAAGTAGAGAAATATAATGAAAAGGCGTTTAAATGATATTCCATATTGCAATTATTTTAAAAGTATAATGATTTCGCGAATACCCAACTTCAGTATAAGTTGGATCCCCTTCTATTAAAAGTCCAACGGCCCCATCCTTGCTTGGTATTTATCGCTGGCTAATGACCATCGTGTCCCATCACTTATTAACGGGTCGCGGGTCCTCGGTAGTTGAGGGGATGGAATGCGGTCATAGAGCTCAGGGAGGATATTATCTCCCATTGCTGGAAGCAGAAGATCTGGAGTGGATAATTAATAAACTGGAGGTTAAGTGGCGCCTTTTGGACTTATTGCAACTCATGGATGAACGATATTTGGGTAACTGTCGAGAATTTTTAGTGTTCAAGGAATTTCATTTGAAAATTCGACTTTTTAGCAGTGTCCGCTTACTTAAATGAGGATAATTACCTAGCTGATATTAAAGATAATTTTATCGTCCTTATAACAAGTTTAATCAAAAACGTTCAATCCGTTTTCGATAAAATTTACACTACGCTATCGATCATATAAGGTAGCACTATCGTTCAGTTGATTTTTACGTAAAAGTATTATAAAAGTTGTATTTGATATTTTATTTATAAGTAGGCGAAAGTAACAACTTACCAACGTAAAATATTTTTTATTTACCTACTTATATTTACAAGATTGATGGTGTTTTTTGATTTGTTATATTAGAAATTTTATGAACTTTGAAAGTCTGTTAAAACAAATGTTTATGTAATTATTTTAAGTTCAATATAGTTGTAATGTTTTTCATCGGTGTTAAGTTGCTAAATGATACAGCATAGAGATCAATATATTCGATAGCATTTAAGGAAAGCATAGAAAAAATATTAAGCTTTGCGTTACTCTCATCGTAAATACGAAATGTTATGATTTTTTTTTTTTCTCTTTTTCTCCTCATTTTCTTCCAACTCCTTCATTTTCATAGAATTCATACAGGTGATTTGTGCAGAATTCTCAGTGAGTTCAAAACAATAGTTTTCGCTATATTCTGTAGCTGATACCTTTCTACAAGCAGCTTTTTAAAAAAAATATTAGTTGAAAGAGGAAATGTCCCCGAATCGAAAATTCTCTCTCACTATATTTTTCCTGTAGGTATGGAATATAAACTTACTCCTTTTTTATTTATATCGCGAGCTCTTGATCCTCATCGTTCGTTTCAAATCGCAAGTGGGATCAGAACCTCAATATAAATAAATTGCCTATATTTTTATTTTCTATGTTTTATATAAAATATCTTATATATTTCTTTTAACTTTATCAATAAAAAACAGAATGTGTTAAGAAGATATATTCTATTTTTACTTATTGATTTATTTCTTATTTCGCTTATGTATTACTTATGTATGTATTCTGTTTTTATATTTACTTTTTCATAGTTTATTTATTCATTTATTTCTTTTTGTTTATTTTTCTCTATTATATGTATATATGGTATCAATGAACATTGAGCCTTGTTTCTTACTTGTTGCCCTTCGATGTGGCAGACTTTACTATTTACTGTTCAATAAAAAAATAAATAAAAAAAACAGATTCAACATACTACTGTTTTTTATTAACAAAGTGAAGAGAAATATATGAGCTATTTTCAAACGTATATCACATTTTGTCCTATCCTGAACTATTTCATGGATGTAACAAACGATGTTTACATCTGATGTATAGAAATATAAACTTGTTCGTTTAGATGAAGAATAATTAATTTCTCATATAATTATTTCGTAAAAAGTATTTCTATAATACATTAAAGTTAATTAACAAATAAGCTAATTAAAATTATATTATCATTATTTTTTTACAGGTTATATATCAATACAATATATATTATATCAATACAAACATCACAATCAAAAATTTTACGAAAAATTGTTAACGCACCTTGGTACATTTCAAATAATACTACACATAACGACTTAAACACCCCAACAGTAAAATCCTACATCCATGACAAATACACTACATTTCATTCTTCAACCCAAAATTACTCCGATCCTCTAATTCTTTCTATCTCCTGCTCCCTGTTACCTGAACGACACAGATTAAGAAGAAAATGGCCAAGTGACCTACTATATCGATAAAAACAAAATCAAGCAAATACACCAAAACAGTATAAATACAACAAATTAGCTTGATGCGCTGCGGCGCAGGTGTAAATTTAATATAATATAATAAATAAAATAAATAAAATTAAAAAAAAGAAGGCCAAATAAATTTGTGTCATTAAAAATTGATTCAGATTCGTTGCTGTTGTCCTTTAAAACTCTTAAATACAAATTCGTTTTGCAATAAAAAATATTAATTTTCGAACTTGATTTTATGGAGAAAATATTTTACATTTCATTTATTATAGCATTAAACCTGATTAAATGTGGAGAAAATCTTCATTAAAATTGAAAAATAGAAATGTTTTTCTTTATATTTCACTGTGTTTAATTGGTATAATATCAGGAATAAAGCTATAAACACAGATGGATCTCATAAGAACTATTAATAAAGGGCAATAAATTTCCATTTTTCGATCGCAATGATAATTCTTGTTTTTCGAGATGCAAAAAATGAGTATTAATTTTATTTATCCCAAAAAAAAATATTTAATGAGATCTGGATCTGTATTTCATGTATAATATGTACAATTTATGCTTTATTATTATTTTCGGACTGATTTTGGACCACATATCAGGTTTTGTGCTCATAATCTTACTCTAAAAACCTGGCCGGATTTAAAAAAAAAATGATTTTTGGCATACAGCTCCAGTATGAGTACAATATTGAAACAGTTATTGGGTTGGCAAATAAGTCCTTTCGGTTTTTCTGACTATTTTTATGTCACTATGATACACTTCTTATCTGATGAATTAATCCCTAGTATTAATCCACAAGCGTAGGAAATCATTTGCACAAGGTCGGCTATGTTTCCAGGCTTAATGTTTGGGTTCCTCACATGATTTTTTTTTTTTTTCAAAAATCACAAAAAGTGTTATAACTTCAATACAACTTAAGCTATGTACAAGAAATTTAGATGGAATTTAGGGACACATAAACTACACAAAATAACGTCAACAGGACCTTTGTAAACAAACTACAAATATATCAATTTAGTTCGATTTTATGATTGAAATATAGTATTAATATTAAAATATACTGTATGTTTAATCTAGCCACTAATATAGTATTGTAATGATTAGGCCACCGGAGAGAAGCTAATGAACTTAAGCCGATCTCTTAGGCAATAAGGGTCCACACACTTTCTTTCTTCCCAGCCCATTACCCTAAAAGCTCACACCGATTCTAATTCTAGTGCCATCGCTTTGGGTTAGAGTCACGCTTTGGTAACGATTTAAATTACAAATGGATACCGGGCTTTCTCTGGCTTCGCTTCTGGGAAGTCTGGGGTTGATCGTCATCACACGGTTGGGAATCAGTTCAGTTTCTTTCGGTCACAAAGATTTCTAATAATTGTGAAATCTGTATAATCGTTTTTGCAATAATAAAAAAAAAATAATAATATCACTTTATGTTACGTTATAATTAGAAATATCCTATCAATATAGCCTTGCGTCTCTAAAATGCAAATAAAAAACAAAATAACCAATCAATGTTTCGCCTATGCCTCCATGATATTAAAGGCCACTTAATTATACAACGATGCACAGAGTTTAATCAAAATAGTTTGAGCCGTTTTTTAAAAAAAATTTAAAAATATGTTTCACCGTTGATATGAATAAAGTGGCACTTACGGTTAGCCGATTTTAAGGGAAAAGTTTCTGTTACATTTAATGTATATACCTATCTTAGATAAGTAATATCAGTTTTCGTTTTTGAGCTAGACTGTTCACACACATACACACATACAAACAGACACACAGACCATTTCGTGGGACTTGGTTATTTGGACTCAGGAGACCTCAAAATGTGTATTTCCGTTGAAAACTCAGATTCAAAAATGTTCACGATCGCAATACTTTCCTTTACTTTATACTATACATATAGGTAAGTGAAATTAAGAACAAACAGATTAATAATAGAAATATCTTAACAATGCAATCTTTGACATACATTCTTTATTGAAATTTTTATTTTTTATTTATTTACTTATATGATATTTACAACTGTATACAAAAAATACATCTGGTAAATTCTCACATGGATATACTGACATGAAACACATGTTGAGAAACTTCCCATTGGTAGCACTCTAATAATATGTCTATATTAGGAGATCACGTGGCCATCTTCTTTTCAGACGCCTCGGAGGGTTATAAGGAATTGAATAGGAAGCAAGGTTAGAAACAAGAGGGTTGGATGGTTATGAAGTTTATTATGGAAGGACAGATATCTGGACTGGGCCAAATCTGATACAGAAGGAACATTAAGGTCATTATGGATGATTTTATTTGTAACAAAGTAAGGAGCATTGAGGATTTTACGAAGGATTTTGGATTGTAAGGATTAGATGCGAGAGGAGTTTGAAGGTTTGGTGGAGCCCCATAGCTCATTTATTGAAATAAATATAAATTTGAATATAGTGCCTCTAACCTATGTAGTTGTACATGGCACCTAAATATAACCAAAAGAATAAATAACTGTGTTTTTTATCTAGATCTCTATTATAGAAATGTATCCGTATTTATAAATTTTCCTAACTAAATTTTCCTAACCGTAATTGACGAAAAAACGTTTTCATGAAAATAATTCAGGTAATTAGCAGTCTTCTTTATTATTCAAGTCAAAATTAGGATTAGGAATATTTAGTTCGTAAATTATAAATACCGATCAATGCCTTTATCAGAGATTTTAATAAAAAATACAGTTTCAATATCACTGTGGGCGATAAATATTCGAAAAATCCTGTCATATAATCTTGTGTCCCTAAAATTCAATTAAAGAACAAACAAAAAAGTCTTTGCAATAATTTATTATAGTCATTTTTGCTGACAAGATCAGTAATTGAAGGAGGCAGAATATCAAAAGACCTAATTTTTTTTTCACATAACTTATGCGAATATCAACTTATTTAGTGATTACACCCTCACTTAATTAATAAAGACTTAAAGCATATTAAACAGGGATTTTTTTTTCTAAAATCTGTAGTACAGTTGGTGGTTAATAAAAAAAAATTCAGAAATAATGAAAGTTTTTTTTTAAACTGAACTTAGCATAGTTTATCTCCTCGAAATTTCTCTTTAAATAGTTTGAACAGTGACAATCTCTAATTTTGTTTAAAGTAAATATTGTCTAGTTTACTGTGAAGAAATATTTAATTACTTAATTTAAATATCTTTTTAGCTATCGCTTTTTATTTAACTAAAAACATTATTTACTTAAAAAATCACAAAAGTTAAATTGCCTACTTCTTTGCCGAAAATCGGACCATTGTTAATATAAACAATGGTTTTTGTATGTGTTTGAACTATATGACCCATATTTAAATTTATTTATTGTCTTATTAAAACTTTTTAAGAACCGTTATAAGTGAGTACACTACAATAAGTTCTGTTTTTCATAAAATTATAGGATATAATGTTTTTTAATCATTCTCTTCCTGAATTACAGATTCACCATTTTTATATTAAAAAATATCTTGTTTGAAAAGCTTTAAGTCAGTATCAACTATATTTTTGCCCAAAAAAAGTTCATATAGCCCTACAAATTTCGCACAGAAAATTTAAGTTTTGTGTTTAAGAAAGTCGCGTTTTTTTCTTTAATAGCAAAAAAACATTTAATTATTACAATAATCAATTCCAGCATAGTAAATTAGATGAATTTTGTTTTCAAAAACAACTATAATTGGTCTTATTTTAAACTAGACTAAGGGGGTTTCAATTTTTAGAATTTTTTTTATCTCTCTAGGTCTATTATTATCTGTTTTAATATTTCCTCCTATGTTCATTGTGTCCTGAAACAGGTAACTTTTATAACTATATCGGCTGACTAAAAGTGCATTAATCATTGATAATTTATGAAATAATAATTATCTTCAGTTTTTTTTATTGTTGACTTATAAAATCAAATAAAAAAATAGCTTAGTTTTTATTAACAGGGATGTTTATTTATAATTTTAATAAATTATTTCATCTATATGCTTAGTACCACATTTTAGTTCGTATATGGCAAACATTCTTTAGACTTTTCCACAATTGAGTCGTGCTTCCCACCTGCCATGAATATATTTCGATGCTTTGGATATTATATGACATATATTTTTAGAAAGGGGATTGTTTTGATGTAAATACACGCCGCCTGCAACTGCTAGGTTTTTAAATATGAAATAAATAATTTTCTTATTTTGTATTTGTGCAAAACGATTATTACGATGCTCAGATGTTTTTAGTAATATAAAGAATATAATATTGAATAATCAGGATTGCTACGTGCATGGCTTCCCCTGGACCTCTGGAATTTTTATTTTTTCTTAGGAGATATTCAAATTCTTATCATTAAACTCCTGTTCGGATAACATTCTCTTAAGAAATTAATTTAGCGAGAGATCTTTCAAGTTCAAACTCAAATTTTGGCGAAGCATTTATCAATTAGATTTTTTGCTATATCAAATCTCAGAATATCCCTCACATACATTATTACAGTAAGGCTCGGAATCGGTTTTGTACCAAATATAAGCTCCTGTCATGCTCAAATACCATGAATGGGGTACCGTTGGATTCAGAATTTCACGAGGGGTTAGCGAATCGTATTCTCCACTTTTGTTTTTCTTTCTAAAATAAATAAAGTCGATACAAACATTTTGCTAGGCTTCGATACTGGAACGGTGGTAGGTCTGTAGATCGATACGCGACAAATTGAATCTTGAAGATTTTGGTGCGTACAGAGATCCAACGCTCAAAAACGCACTATTTTCGAGATAACGCAAGGCATAGCGTTTGCATCCACACAACCTTACATTAATTGTAGTACTGTCATTGAGTACATGTCTTATTTCGTCGACTTGTGGCCTTTATGATCGAGAGAGGGAGAGTTTATATTATTTATCGATAGTGTTTTTGATCGGAAAGCCATATCATCGTTGATTCCTTACTAAATCTCCAGATTGAGCCACCAATTTCGAAGGCTTCCTTCTCCTTCAGGAGAGCAAAATAGTCCAATCACCCCGAAAATTCTGGCAAACAAGTTATGAAAAAAAAAAACTTTATTTGCGAATAACTAAAAAATTATACACTTTCCACGATTATATAAAATATTACTAAATTCTTTGCAAAAGGAAAAAAAAATCATCGAAATAGGACGATTTTTATCAAAGATACAGCTTATTAAAATTTTTAAACATGTTGGTTCCAAACATTAATGAAGATTTAAATTGATTTTTGTTTCCTTTGTCGATTATATTTATTGATAAAGTAATAATTGATTTCTTTATCTTTTGATACGTTGCATTATTTTGTTTTCTTATTTATTTGGCATTTGATAACAATATGCTGTGCGAATTTTTCGCACGGGCCTACTAGTTAGTTCTAATTTACATGTGTCCCGCAAAACTTCCTTTATATTCTATCATTTTTGGTGGTTGAGAGACTGAAATATATCAGTTAAGATTGGAATTGTCCAAAAAAAAAATTATATAAATAAAGAAAAGATTGGGATATGCCAGATTTTTAAAAATTAGAAATAATTAGAGAACTTAAGTTTGGAATACTTCGAATTTTTTTTTTTGAGGGTGCATATTCCATCTTGTAGCTATGTCCTTAGAAGACCTGTATGTTTCTAAAGCTTCTTCGATGGGGTTCGCAATTTTTTTTTTATAATAGGTAATAAGTTTGCTTCCGGAAGGTGGAGGACATGTTTGGACTATGCGGGTCTCCTAGGAGGCAGGCAGGTGTCAGATTAACATCCCGTACTCCCGACGTACACCGGAGGAGTGACGGATAAGATACAGGGGACAGGACAGTGGGGAGGAATGCCGGAGAGGTAAATACATAAAGCGGGCAATTAGAAGGATCAAAGGAGCCGCCAGCTTCTAGGAATCAAATCCTGAGGCTGGTCTTCTTCAGAGAGTGCCCGGTGTCTTATTGCCCAAACTCTTATATCCTTTATTTATCGCCCGTCCTCTCCGGCGCTGAGTTATCGCTCCTTCTCGCTGTCCTCGCTCGCTGCTCCTTCCCTCCGCCTCATCTGTCTTGTCTGTCCTGAGAGATCTCGAGGAGATTTTATCCAATTTTATATGGCTTCTTTATTCGGAGTTGACTTCTGTTTTAGGATGCAATGGATGGGCAATACAGAAAGATCATCAGCTACGTGTACGGCATTTTTAAAGCTCGGTTAATTATTTTATAAAGATTGAAATAAATAATAATCCAACTAAAATATTGTTATCAGGGTCGGATCAAGACGAGTGGGGGTCCTAAGTGGTTAAAATTTCTGGCCCCTTCAAATAAACGTTTCAAGAAAATTCAGAAAAAAAACACAGAAAATTGATAACGCATCTTTAAGACCTTACATTATATATATATATATTGAGAAGGAGTTGATAGGGGAGTGCGGTCAAATTAATACTAAATTAAATAAGTAGAATTATTTAATTTTTGTCGACGTTTCGACCCACTTTGTAGGTTTTCACAAGATACAAAACATGGTGAAAATAAATGAATATATGTAGATATAAAATAAGAATATCATCTTATGAAATAAGCATATCATGTTTTAGTTCTGTAACAGACAACTTATTCTTATTTTATATCTACTTATATTCCTTTATTTTCACCATGTTTTATATCTTTTGTAGCCCTGATGAAGACCTAAAAAGTTGGTCGAAACGACGGCAAAAATTAAATAATTCTACTTATTTAATTTAGTATTAATTGGACCGCACCCCCCGATCAACTCCTTCTCATATTATATAAACGGTCAACCATCTCTATACCTTTTTTTTTTTTTTGTTATTTCCAAAAAAGGGTGCTAACGTCAGATGATAAAATCAGCTTTTAAAATGACTACTATGTGAAAACAATTTCTCGAAATGGATCTGATGTTCAGGATTAATATTGCCCAAATCCGAGACCGAGACGAATTTTGGTCTTGCAAACCCAGTTTTGTTCGTGGTCTTGGTCTTGCGCAAAAGTCTTGCAGTTACATATTAGCTTATTACGATAAAGATATTAATATAATATGTTAGATACAAGAAACCTAACTAAGCCCGAAAAAAAAATTAGAGGAGTTAAATGCAAAAGTATATTGGTCACATCAATTATTAACATATAGTAACGAAGATTATCAAGTATTAGTAAATGTTTTGTCTTAATTTTTATTTTCAAAATAGATTTTTTTTATCAGTCCTGGTCTTGGTTTTGCAACAGTTAGGCGGCCTTGGTCTTGGTCTTGCAAAGTGAAAGACCAAGACCGATTTTGGGTAAAACTACTCAGGATGGATGAAACTTTTATTTTTCTGCTAAAAGGTGTTGGTAAAGGGAAGTTCATCATTTCTAAGCCTGCTAATTAAGGAAAGTGAACACACCATTAGTGTTGCCAAATGCGAGACCAAGACGAGTCTTGGTCTTACAAACCCAGTCTTGATCATGGTCTTGGTCTTGCGCAAGAGTCTCGCAACAGTCTTGCAGTTACATATTAGCTTATTACTATAAAGATAATACTGTAATATTTTAGATAGAAGAAACCTAACTAAGTCCGAATGAAAAATTAGAGGAATTAAATGCAAAAGTATATTGGTTATATCAATTATTAACATATAGTAACTAAGATTGTCAAGTATTAGCAACTATTTTGCCTGACTTTTTATTTAAAAATCGATCTTTTTTACTAGTCCTGGTATTGATCTTGTAACAGTTAGGTGGCCTTGGTCTTGGTCTTGCAAAGTAACACTAATGTAGAGGCTTCCAAATGAATTAATCCGAAAAAATAGAAATACTATTTATTTCTCTAAGTGGATCCCTCATGGAAACTCTTCGACTAATGGCGCATGTATTCATTCACATAGAGATATGTGAGAAATGTGCAAATTGTATGCAAGTATAGAAAACACAGTTTTGAAAACGTAAGTTTAAATAAAACATCTTCCGTAGCGGGATTAGATGGGAGGATAACAAGTTGAATAAATCAAAACTGAATATAGTCGGCATTTTTATCGTTGTTTGGTTTTAGTGTGTAGGGGGGGGTTACATGATCTTCTTCCCTATCTTCCCTATACATGATCTTATATAAACTTCTTCCCTTCCTACCTTTGCGTTTGCATCACCTACAATTATTTTCATGTAGTTTCGCGGTAGTTTATCATAAACCCATTCGAGTTTATCGTAAAATTCACTTTTGACTTCATCGTCACTGTCTTCGGTCGGACAATGTATGTTTATTAATGCGATTTTAAACCAACGTCCCTGAAATGTAGCTACCGAAATTCTATCACTAAAGAATTGTACGTCCCTCAAAGCGGATAGTAATCTACTCCTAATTAGAAACCCGGTACCTAAACAATGATGTACACATGTGAGAAATGTGCAAAGAGTTTTGTGAAAAATATAACATAAATGCTGATGTATAACAGTTCAATAGTGTAAGAGAAATATTTTCACCTTCTTATTTTGTTGCCTTTATTTTTTTAACTGCTAAGAAAAATGTTTATATCTGCAGAACATTTCGTGCTATGCGTAGCAGTTTTGGTATTTTTGCCTCAATCAGAAGACCGAACTTAGTCTTCCTTTTGATTGGATTATCACTTTCGAGATTTCAAATTTTGTCAGGTTGATTACAGTATAACGGAAAATTTTTTAAGTACAAGACCAAGACCGATTTTGGGCAACATTATTCAGGATGGATGAAATTTTTATTTTTCTGCTAAAAGGCGTTGGTAAAGAGAATTTCATCTTTTCTAAGCCTGCTAATTAAGGAAAGTGGACACAACATAAATATGTTTTACTGTGTCTGTTTATTAAGGGATGTGAAATCTTTAAAAAATACTGGATTTTTGTAAAAGATTAAAATAGAAGACCCAAAGCTAGGGATCAGTAACCGAATCGATCGGAGAGCGGGCCTACAAGAAATAGAGTGAGAGAGAAAGGGGGAGGGATGAGGGGAGGAAGGAGTGACTATAAATCGGACAGCCATTAAGTTGAGTGGCTCCTTACTGGCTCTTTATCTAATTTATTACGCTCTTTAAGATATTTACCTTTGGCGGTGTCCACGGTAGTCTTCCACCGTCCTCTTAGTCAATGTCGGTGGCAGGCTGGGGACGGTGTTTAATATCCCTGATATAGTCTCCAGTGTATTCAATAAAATAACATAAAATACAGCATTAACAAGAATCCACACACGAAATGGGCAAAATAATTTGTTATCCATATGATGCTTTGCGATTTTCTTACTAAACCAATTCATACGCTTAAACATCAAAAGTATTATCCTGTAGTGTTGATGATTATTTGACAACTGGAAAAGGAGGACTATTGTATCGAAGTGAAGACCAAAGAATTATGTTCCAAGCGAGGAGACACATTAAGCAGTGCGAATCACAAGAGGAAGGATGATTGAAATCACATACTTACCTACGAGGGGACTTTCGTTGTGAAACCCCTCTAAAATTGTAAAATATGATATACACCAATAAATTTCGTTTGACAATATAACATTATATTTATAGATGCCTGCCAAATCGAAAATTCATTTTTTTTTAATTTATTGAGAATCAAGGTATTCTCGGTCCCATTCCCAACACAATTTAAACAGCTGAAATTTCAGCTTATCATTAACTATACCTAGGACTCCATCTGGACAAACGTCTAGCTTGGAATCCTCATATCAGACTGAAACGGCAAGAAACAGCTCGACGTTTCCGACTACTTCAACACTTACTAGACAAACGCTCTAACCTTCCAATTAATTACAAAAGACTCATTTACATGACTATAATAAGGCCTATTTGGACTTACGGAGTTGAGCTATGGGGCTCCACCAAATCTTCAAATTCCTCTCGTATCCTATCGTTACAATCCAAAATCCTTCGTAAAATCCTCAATGCTCCTTACTTTGTTACAAATAAAATCATTCATAATGACCTTAATGTTCCTTATGTATCAGATTTGGCCCAATCCAGATATCTGTCCTTTCATAATAAACTTCATAACCAACCCAACCCTCTTGTTTCTAACCTTGCTTCCTATTCAATTCTTGATAACCCTCCGAGGCGTCTGATCGATCTCCTAATATAGACATATTATTAGAGTGCTACCAATGGGTAGTTTCTCAACATGTGTTTCATGTCATTATATCCATGTGCGAATTTACTAGATATATTTTTTGTATACAGTTGTAAATATCATATAAATAAATTTAAAAAAAAATCATTAACTATAAATACCACAAAATCACTAATACCACATATGCTGATGGCTTTGTGCGTAGTCAGTTAATTAATGATTCATTTATTCATTTCTAAACTCTTCAGTCATACACCATAAACCTTGAAAAATTGTGCCAAATTGGAGGATTATAATAAATTCCAACAGATCCCATCAAATCACGTTTACCCTTAGTCGTAAACCTATGACTTCCTGCCTTACAGTCTCCTTTAATGATACTCCACTTATCCCTGTTGAGCAGAACCGCATCTGGACAAACGTCTTACGTGGAATTCTCATAAAAGACAAGAAACTGCTAGAGCGTTTCCGGCTGCTTCAACAATTACTAAAATTTATTCTAAACTTCCAATCAATTATATAATACTCATTTATAATCCAAAATCCTCAATGCTCCTTATTTTGTCTCCAATAAAATTATCCATAATGACCTTAATGTTCCATATGATGTAGATTTAGGCCAATCCTTCTACAATAAAGTTCAAGCCAATCTAAATCTCCTTGTTTCAAAACTTGCATCCCTTTCAATTCTTGACAACCCTCCTAGGCGTCTGAAAAGAAGAATTC